AACCTCACTTCTTCAGATGCAAGTAATGGAAATCTCCAGAGGCAGGTATATATCAGTGTGGAGATAACGAGGTATATACCTGATAACGAGTGTGGAGATAACGAGATATATACCTGCCTCTGGAGATTTCCATTACTTGCATCTGAAGAAGTGAGGTTCTTACCCACGAAAGCTTATGCTCCCAGTACTTCTGTTAGTCTCAAAGGTGCCACAGGACCCTATGTTGCTGTTGAATCCCTTTAAGCTTTTGAACCAAAAGATTATACTTTTTATTTCCTTTTTCATAAAACATCTTCTTCAGATACTTACAGGCTTTTTCAGTGGCATCTCTCATCAACATATTCAATTTCCCCTTATATTAGTTAATTGTTGATATTCTTCTTTTGAACCTATTTTTATGACTGTCTTGTAATCTTTTTATCTCCTATACTAGTTCTCCTATACTTTTTATCTCCTATACTAGTTCTATTTTTTCTTGAGTGCTTTCTTTCTTCAGTTGAGAGTTCTGCTTATCCAAATGGCCCCCAAATACAGCTTTACCTGTCTCCCAGATAAGACCTCTTTTTATATTGTCCAGATCATTAATCTGAAAGTATTGAACAATACCCTCTTTAACGGCTGCAACCCGATCTTTGTCTTGGAGAAACAAGCAGTTAATTTGCCCCCAAAAAGTGATCTTTAGGACCTATCCCACCTATCAAATACTACTTTCAGTGGTGCACGATCTGGCCCTGTAATGGTGCCAATTTGTGCCGGTCCTGTCTGCTTCATTAAGGATTTAGACAGAAACAATAAATCTAGCCTACTGTGGGTGTGAATAAAATGTATAGTCTCTTTCCCACGGGTGCAGTTCTCTCCTACAATCCAAGATTGAGTTATTAGCACAGAGAAGTCAATGCTACATCTGTTTTCCCACCCCTCTTGACTTTTTTGTCAGGTCTGTCCCCCTAAAGAATCAGTGTGGAACAGAAGTCTCCTCCAGGTATAATTTCCTCATCCTAAAGTGCTGCAGAATTTTAAAAATCTTTAAAAAAAAATTGCTTTTAATTGGGAGGCACTGAGCCAACTCTTATTAATAACCCAGCAATGGTGCCCTTCAACAAGCTAAACTGGTCTTTAATGTGGAAACATACATGTTCAGCAAATACATGCACACCTCTTTTCTTTTCTTTGGCTGAAGCAAAAAATATCTGCCTAAACCAATTACCTTTCATGCCCATAATTTGCCCTTCCTGAGAATGTTTCCTGAAGCAGAATAATCTAAGAGCGTGTTTTTTAAATTCGTCCAGAACTTTTTCCCTTTTAATGACATTATTTAGCCCTTTGACATTCAAAGATGTTATTTAAAAGGAAGAGCCATTGAGAATAACTATTTAGCTTACTGAAAAGCTTGAAATGATTGTGATTTTTTTTAGCTGTTTGATGGCATAAATCCTTGTGTGTCCGATGTCTCTGGTTTCTAATTGTGTTGCATTTGCGATAGTTTGCCTGAATATGGCTTGATTTCTGTTTGTAAACTTCCCTAGCTATTTCCTATAACACTTCCCCTTTGCCTCCCCACTCCTGCTTTTCCCCTGGTTTAAATCCAAAACCAAAATACCACCATACCATATAAATCACTCCCCAAACAAGTGTTTTGCTGAACTCTAAACCTCAGTACTCTCCCCATGAATACTTGGGCTGCTTCTCTTGTAATTCAAAGATGGTACATTCTCCACCTATGGGACCTTGACCCTCACCCTCAGGGATTGATTATCATCTGCTCACTTAAGTTACATTTGAGCCTAAGGGCTCCTCCCCATTACCTCTCTATCTCCTCCATCCCTAGGATACCCCTACCTATTCCCTATTGTCCTTTATTTTCTAAAATGCAGCTATCACAAAATTATGCTCATCCCACTTAAAACAAATACCATACTATTTCCCTTCTAACATTAACATAGTTACTTCACAATTGTTCATTCTTGATGACTTCAGGAAGTCCCTTCTGTATAATCTTTAGCTGATTCCTTAGATACCTGAGTACTCCTGTTCAGGTTCACTTCTGCCACTGACAGTACATTATCGAGAGGATTTGTCTTTTCTTTTCCTAGCCTCCTTTTCTTGGGTTTCACCATCTGCCAAGATTTTTCCAGCATTTTATCCTTGGTTTCTACCTCTGGAGTAGGTGTTCTGATTTTTTTTTCTTGGAGACTCCATCTTCTGAAACCCTGTGCTCTGTTTTATGGGAGGAATTAGTAGGTTCAGGAAGTCGATGGAGGCAGTTTACTTTGATAACCCTTTACATCTCAGGCTTCAGGAAGCCATTTTTGTCCAGCCCTCTGCTGGTCCTCTATTGCATTGCTTTTAACTTTCTTTTAAGGGAATCAACAACATTGACAAAGCAAGTTCTCCCAACATATCAGTATTTTGTATATTTTTTTTAAAAAATACAGAAATGAAGAAAATATAAAAGGAACATGGGCTAACAGGAAATGGACACAGCCACATGATAGCTGAACAGATGGAACACTTCTTGAAACACTAAAACCTCTCTCAAATAATCCAGTGAAAACTCTCTAAGGCCCCAATGTTGAGATGTGATCTGTTATTGCAGACCCTAGCGCCTATGTGGTTAACACTTTTTATCCAACCTGCAAAACACAGAGACCTATCTTGGGAGAAAGAGACATTTCTTGCAACATGCGACATATCGAGTTGAGGGAGGGACACAGACACATACACAGTTCTGCTGATCCTGGGTCAGAACAAAGACTTTTCTATTGAGTAAAGAGTTTCAAATATTGAGCATGATTGTTTAAAATACACACCTACTCAGTAAAGCATTCTGTAGTACTTGACTAGGTGAGTACTTTGTATGTATCCTTTTATGATTTTCTCCGTGCAGCAGTTTGACAATTTGACAGTAAAATCGGCAAGGATTCCTAAATAGCTTGCTCCCCTTAGGAAGGGCTCAGACATGAGAGAAAGAAAATACCCTTAAGTGCTGGAAGACTGGCAAGCCTCATCATCTCCATTTTTTAAATAGGAAAGTGACTTGCCCAAGGTCACAGAACAAGTTAGTGTCAACACCATGTTTATAGCTCAGGAGATCTGGCTCTCAGTTCCTCAGTATTCGAGCAATCCTTGGGTTAAAAATACTAAATACTTTTTTTAATGAAAGTGATGGGAAGATATTTCAGCCAGTTCCTGTAAGTGGACGAACCACAGCAGAAGAAGATGTAATGTACTGTAATACTATGGTGTACATTTCTATTTGGTATTCCAATTCTCATCCTGCTTTACCATGACGTGCTAGTTCTATAGATTATTGAAAAGGTTAATCACAAATGAGTAATTTTATAGGCAGCTAATTGTGAAAATTGCAAGATTCTTTATAATGCTCCAACCAAGAGAGGATTTTGTTATGGTGACAATGGAGATGGTTATAGGTCATGAACACTGCAAAACTCTCTCCCACAGCAGTTTATCTTAAATTGTCAGGAAATAATAAGCAGCACAGATTCTTCCCAACAACTCACTTTTACTATGTTATCCCCTGACTGCCCATTGTTCCGTAAACAATCAAGGCAAATAGCAATCTGTGGGTCACTCCTATGATAATCTTTATCGTCTTGATTTTCATCATCCTCTTCATCTACTTTGGGCTTGTCAGCTTTTGGACTTTCATCTGTAAAATATAAAAATCAGATTATTCAGGTACCATACAATTAAAATGAATGGTTTGCAATGCCTGGGAATGAACTAGTACACTCATGCGTACAAACAGAGATATAGATATGAAATCAAAGATGTATTTAAAGCTAAATTCTCCAAAATGCATTAAAATGCTTTGGTTCAATTATTTTAAATCTGGCATGGTTTTCAAAATATGTTCTTTAAAAATATGCTATTGGACTGAATTTCATTCAATGCATTCTTTAAAAACTGCTCAATTTACAATCCCTGAAAATTGAAGTTTACTACCGAAATTGCAATTTTACATGCACACAAAGGATTTCTACTTTACAGATAGTGGTTAGGCAGGTGGTCAGTAGTGATTATGGTAGTCTATTTTTGAGTGTTTACTTCCTGTAATTAATAAAGCTCACATCTCAGAATAAGTCAATCCCATTTAACTATGCAAAACTAACATGCATTAGCTATCCTGCAGTAAAATCCTAGAGGCGACAAAGCACTATATTTTTACCATGAAATATACTAGGCAAGATCAACCACATGTGGGGGTACAGTATTGACTTTGCAGTAAAATCTACGGGTGCCCTGTCTCCACTAGGATTTTACAGCTAATGTGTTAAATATCCTGCTGTAAACCCCCCCCCCTTTTTTTTTGCAGTGAAGACATAGCCTCCGTAACTATGTGTGCTTATCACTGTTACCTTTTACCCTCCTTCACCCATTCCCTCCATTTATTTGTTACACCCACTTGTTGCATCTTAATTTACACTGTAAACTTTTCAGGGCATGGAGTGTCTCCTATCATGTACGTTACAGTGTCTAGCACAACAGAGCCCAGTATCTGCGGAAGCGTCCTAAAAGAGGAGGGGGGGGGGGAATGGCAACAAGTGCTGTCCTCTGTCGCCGCCCCTGAGGCACTGCCCCTTCTCCTCAAGCCCTGCCCTCATGCTGCCCCCTCCCCCCAAGGCCCCGTCCCTACTCACTTCTCCGTCCCCTCCTCACCCCTCACTCACCCTTACGGCTGGTAAAAAGTGCATAGCTCTCCCACTTTTAAAAGTGAGGGGGCCACGGACCTCTGACCTCCTCCCCCCCCCCGTTCTGGTACCGCTGATAGAGCCCCAATCTAACAGGGACCTCTGGGTGTTTTTGTAATACAAATAACTCTAAGCATACAGCAAATTAAAATGGTGTGTTTCTAACTGACTTAGCTTTTAACCAGTTTGGAAGACAACATACAACACACCTATTATATACACCTAATAGTGGCAATCTCAGAGTCTCTCTATTTTATTTAGGAAGTTACTGGCAAAGGCTGTTCACTGCAGGCACAAAACACTAATTCAAGATATCAAGACTAATAAAGTGCTGACATGAGTTACAGAAAAATGAGTAGCTGATAAAAATTGAGAAATAAGAATAGAAGTAGGACAAAAGAACAGTTTAAATAAGCTGATCTATCAACTCCGATTCACATGCATGCAAAAACTGGTTTATGAGATAAACAAGTGACTTGAATGGATTACTTTTTGCCTATTCTGATACTCTGTTAAATCAGGTTCTATTATGTTTTTGCATTTCCACCTCAAACTACTCATACATGAATGTAAACAGTTTAAATGTGAAACCAGAGTCAAAATGGTATGGAAAACCATTTCTCATGCCTAAAGTAATTAATAAATGCACACATTTTCAGACATAGTAACTTATTCACCTTGTCCACTTTTGTTACTCCAAATTTTTGGAAAGAAAAGTATCAAGCCAGAAACAAGATGACTCGATGTCTGAAAGACATCCCTAAATCACTGGCACGTTTTCTAGTTGAACAAACCACATTTTTATTTGTCCCTGCAGCTGCTTTTTACAATCTATCAACAGGATACACTGTATCAAACTACCAAGGAAAGTTCTGTGAAATTCCAGGAATTAAACCCCTTTCCTCACACAGGCAAAGTACATTCGATAAGCATTTGTCTGTGGAGAATTATCTGTGCTTCATGGCTTCTGGAGCAAATACAAAACCTTGAATAACTTTAATTTTCAGCAGTTACTAATGCTGAATAATAGAGGAAGCTTCAATTAAGGATCTGGGTTTCCTGTTAAGGCTTTTCCAATACCAGACACTAGGGAATTAGCTAACTTCCAATCAGATAGGGAATCCAGGAACATGTGCAAGAGAAATATCTTTCAGGACACCCTGATAGGAATTCAAACTCCCCTCCCAGACCTTAAGAGCTCAATGCTATTTCCCAGAAAAGTCCTTGCAGCTATTTCAACTATGATCTTGTCTAGGCAACTGTCCAGGCATCTGGTACAAGCAACCTATTAAAGCATGACTTGATGCGATTGAAAAAATATATCTTTTTTAGACTTGTAATAGTCTTCGAATACTTAGAATCAGTATCCAAGACATTTCTTCAATTCAAAAGAACCAAACCACACATGGCATAAAAATCCTTCACACATTACAGTATTAAGCTGCTGCCGGTACCACAAAGCAACACTAGTGAAATTATTCAGTAAGAAATCCATACATTTAATTTCTTTTCAGAGCAGATTTCTAAGCACTTTCTGGGTGTATAACTTATTCCAAATGCTTCTGTTATGTAAACATGTCTATCCAACCTGTTATCTGGACTCCCTCAGCCCAAGGTCACCTTTGCACTGACGGAAAGACCCTGTATCTGCGGCTCTATGGAAGCATATTTTGGTAGTTTGAGACTTGCGGTGAACAGACCTCACTACTGATATTAATAAAATTATTATAACATATTCTTAAAACATTAGGTCATAACAAACTTTCTTGTGCCTTTACTGAATATTAACATATAGTTACAAGCAGATTATAGCCAGGGTGCTTGGTGAGTATGACAAACCTGTTTTTAGTTATTTATGTTGGGAGGTTTTCAAGCTAATCAAAGGAATTCCAGGAGGCTTCTGCTTCCTGTCACCTCAGGGACAAGTCTGCAAGTATCAAGGGAGATAACTTATGACTCCTAAGAGTGTTTACAAAAATTTGGAAATGCTGCATTTTTAACTTTATCTTGCTTTAACTTTCTATGCCAATTCCTTTTATGCTATGTTTTGGAAAATGGATGTAAACTTGGTTGTTGTGATTGATACTTTGTATAGAATATTTAACTGGAGTTTTAATTGTAAAAAATGCAACTGTTAAATACAATTTGGTCAAAGGACTTCAAAAAGAAGTAACACTGAAGATCCTTTTCAAAGACAAAACCCAGGAGTATAGCGGGCCTCTGCGAGCTCCTCTTTCCAAGAAAAAAAACCCTGTAGTAAACCCAAACAAAAGAATACTAGAAATATCCTTATTGAAATGGGTTTCTTTCACAATCACTCTAAAATCTTCATTCTGGAAATTTTAGGAAAAATGCCTTATGGAAAACCTTTATTTATTTCTTAAATGTTGAAACGACATATCTGCAAGTATTCTAAGTGAATGAAAAACATTTAATATGGTTTCCTAATATCATTGCTATGGTAAAATGCTATATGTACCAACCTGAAATTTAATAACTTTGCTAAACTGATTTCTAATCTAAGAAGCCTTTTAAGTATGGAATACTTATATTGATGGGAGATAGATTAATTATTTAATATGTAAGCAGCCCCCTCCCTCCCCCAACTCAGGAAGACAAGAAGAATTATCTCTCCAAAAATTATGATGAATCAATAAATTCTGTAATGACTATTTAAGCTAGAGACCCTCTTTAAAAGTTATTTAATTTTAAAAAAGACTATAAAATTAAAAATGTTTATATAAAGAATGTTTGGACTTTTTACAAACAGAATTTCATTTCCTGCTGAACCCTAATGAAACTGAAGAAATCTCTGAGGCCAGGTCTACACTACAGACTTAGTTTTGTATAACTACATTACTCAGGGGTGTGGATTGTTCACACCAGTAGTTATACTGACCTAACCTCGGTATAGAAAGCGCTATGCCGGTGGGAGAGGTTCGCGCGTCAACACAGCTACTGCCTCTTACAGAGGTGGATTAACTACACCAATGGGAGAAACTCTCACATAGGCAAAGGAGTGTCTTCACTTAAGCATTACTGTAGTTCAGCTGTGCCATTGCCGCATTTTAAGTGTAGATCTGCCCTCAGGAAATGGACTGAATAATAATAATAATAATTAAAAAAAAGAGATAAAACTCTAACTTTAAAAGATTATCTGGGGATAAGAGAACAAAGGCAATTAGAAGCGTGCAGCAAATTCATTAAGCAGACTGCATGCTCAGGAGCTGAAGGTGTGACCAAAACCAGGCAGAGCCCATGAAAGGATAACTGCAGCCAACTTTGAATCTAAACAAGCCTGAAACAGGCGTATTTTCCTATAATTTCATAAACATAGAAAGACGAGTATAAAACTCTTAAGTGATCACCCTTCACTAACACTCTCTGCTACCCTGCTCAAGCACTCCTCCACTCATCCTGTCGATCTCTACAAGCAAGTTGCCACAGACACCTAAGAAGAAAAAGAAGGTATCAACTGTGACAGTCAGGGTGCAGACACCTCCAGGAAGAACAGAGTGTCTGAACCCCAGAGAATAAACTAATGAATCAACTAATTTATTGTGTATAAATATACGCCAAGTAAGGTCTTTTATGAACGCTTGTAATGTTCTGACCTTGATGGTCATAAGGAGATACGTATTGTGACAAAGTTCCTCCTCTATCTTGGTGGGTCCTGCGCTTATTGGCGGATTTTCTTGCCTCAGAGTTTCACCATGTGGGTTGGGGAACAGCCCAGACACCTTCCCCTCTGGAAGAACCCACAGTCCAGGTCAATTGGGAGGTCTGGGGGGAACCCGGGCCCATCCTCTACTCTGGGTTCCAGCCCAGGGCCCTGTGGACTGCAGCTGTCTATAGTGCCTCCTGTAACAGCTGCATGACAGATACAACTCCCTGGGCTACTTCCCCATGGCCTCCTCCAAACACCTTCCTTATTCTCACCACAGGACCTTCCTCCTGGTGTCTGATAACGCTTGTGCTCCTCAGTCCTCCAGCAGCACACCCTCTCACTCTCAGCTCCTTGTGCCTCTTGCTCCCAGCTCCTCACACTCGCACCACAAACTGAAGTGAGCTCCTTTTAAAACCCAGGTGCCCTGATTAGCCTGACTTAATTGATTCTAGCAGCTTCTTCTTAATTGGCTCCAGGTGTCCTAATTAGCCTGCCTGCCTTAACTGGTTCTAGCAGGTTCCTGATTACTCTAGTGCAGCCCCTGCTCTGGTCACTCAGGAAACAGAAAACTACTCATCCAGTGACCAGTATATTTGCCCTCTACCAGACTCCTGTACCCCATTGGTCTGGGTCTGTCACAGTATGCAGGTTATGGTTATGAATCAATTCATGTATATTTGTGTATATATATATATATATGTAGAAAATTGTAATAACTGTGGTGCAACTACAGTATCACCTCAGAACAGAGGATGAAATAATCAGGCAGAGAAGGGCACCTTCCAGGTTAGTTGTTTACATGAAACCAACTTCAAATACCCATCCATCGTCCAGCCAGGAAGATACAATGGTGGATCATTAAAGTTAATGGAAAGACATTTAAACTGAAAAGAAAATTAAGGAAGGAGGGAGTTTCCCCTGCTCTGTGTAACCATGAATTACCAGAGCCTGACAGAAAGAAAAACAAAACAAAATGGCACACCCTGTTAAAAAGAGAGGAGGGTTTGAAGTGAAGGCTATCCAAAAACTCAGGGCCAGCATCTAAGCTGGGTGCTATCTGGGAAACATGGGATCCCCTATAGAACAGAGGGTATATGCTGGGCAACTGTTCAGAGGCAATAGATAACTTGTATTAGAAAAGGGAATTTAACTAATATAGAAGTGTAAAGACAGACTGCATCTTTATGTATATTTTCTGTGTAACGTGTGTTTGCTTTTCCTCCCTATTTCATCTTTGAATCTATGATTTTTCTATTTAACAAAAACTTTGGTTTATTTTTACTGCAAGCAAGAATTTGTTGTGCAAACTGTGTGGAGTGTGTGTGCTAAAGTGAACTCATGACTGGAGGCAGGTTTCACTCCTTCAGGGGTGACAAATCAGAGGAGAAAGGTCCAAGTGTCTGGTAGTTAAGAACTGGGGCAGACTGATTTGGCGGAGATTCAAGACTAGAAGGGCTAGTGGGATCAGCCCTGCAAGGAGTAACTAGGTAGGTAGAAGCCAGGGTTGAGACATTTATGCTTGTAGGCTGGCTACTGGTGTCAAAACTCTTGAGCTCTTATAGCATAGCAGTAAGGCACCCAAAATTACAAGACAGGTGGTGACAGAACCCCTTACCGATCCGGGTGAGCCCCAAAATGTCACAATAACCACACAGGAGCAGCAAAGGCAGGCAACCTTCCAGCCTAGATGACAACCAAGACTTCATCACGGTGAGATGGAAGTAGCCAGCCTACATAACCCCTTTATATTCTACACTTTGATTTACAAAGCAAAGAAGTCCTTAGATTAACAACTGAACTGTATTAGATTAACAACTGAACTATTTGAGGAAGATCTAGAAGAATGAACTGATTAAAAATATATCAATCGTACAATCCTTATAACTGTATAAATTTACAGTAACTGGTAATCTACAGTGTATTTCCTTGACTCTGCTATATTCCTTTATCTTGTAAATGTGACTCCCCTCATTTACTCATCATAATGATCCATTAAAAAGCACTATTAACAGTTCTGTTTATCTTTAATAAAAATTAATAAATAAAAATATTTTCCTTAAGTTTATGTAATATGTACTTCTAATTATATTGGCCCAGGTGTCCTAATTAGCCTGCCTGCCTTAACTGGTTCTAGCAGGTTCCTGATTACTCTAGTGCAG